TATAGGCTACAGGTTAGGGGTAATTAATACTATAGGGTTAAGGTATAGGCTATAGGCTATAGGTTAGGGATAATGAATTTTGTTGTACGGTTTTAAGCCAACTGTTTATTTAGTCAGAGCCTTAACTGTGACATCTAGACGTGACTTCAGTGTTGTGAAGCACTCAGTCGGTCAAAGTGCCAAATGGAGGAAGTTCCTGGTGCTCTCACAGTCGCAGGAGCAGAAAGCGCGTATGATCCTTCCCGGCCGCCGTCGCGTCTCTGCCGCGCTCCCCGCCGTCACTTTCTTGACTTTCCTTTACACTCCTGCGCAGCTTCTTCCCGGTTCTCTGCTCCGTCTGCCCGCCTGGCTTCTGGTCGACATGTCGGAGTACAACGCGGTTCCTCCGCCCGGCTCGGGGCCTCCTCTCGGCGGACAGGCAGCTCTCGGTAACGGAGCCGGAGGCATCAAGAAGGATGCCTTCGCGGACGCGGTGCAGCGGGCCCGGCAGGTGAGAAGGAGGCGGCGGGAGCGAGTGGAGGGACGGCTAGCCGAGCAGCTAGCAGCAGCTAGCATGTTGACACAACTTCACACATCTGTAGGAGCTGGTAGCACCACCACACGAGTTCAACCGGAGGAACGGAAGCCCGTTCAGTCCGGACTCGGTCCTCTGGACAGGTGTGAGTCTGGGCTGACAGCAGACATTGAACTGGCCCGGTTCGTGTCAAGGTGTTCAGTGATGCAGGTGTGGTGGCAGACAGGTGCAGCACAGAGCTTCAGAAGCGCTCCTGTATGATCCTTTTATAGAGAACTGAGTGAAACTATTGTAGCATAAACGGTATGTGCTCATAAGAAGAAGACCAGAACCAGGACCTAATAAAACCAGGAGGAAACAGAAACCCTGAGTGTGTTGAGTCCTGGTGCACGATGCTGACTTCCTCCAGAGGCCTCTCTGGCCCCTGGTTCAGCTGGAAGTCTTCCCCAGACACACTGGTCCACATAAGCCCTGAAAGTGGACCACACTGGTCCACATGAGCCCGAAGGTTCTCGACCACAATGATCCACATAAGCCCTGAAGGATCTGGAGCACACTGGTCCACTTGAGCCTAAAGCATCTGGAGCACACTGGTCCACATACGCCCTGAAGGTGGACCGCACTGGTCCACATAAGCCCTGAAGGATCTGGACCACACTGGTCCACATAAGCCCTGAAAGTGGACCACACCAGTCCACATGAGCCTGCAGGTTCTGGACCACACCGGTCCACATGAGCCTGAAGGTTCTGGACCACACTGGTCCACATGAGCCCGAAGGTTCTCGACCACAATGGTCCACATGAGCCCGAAGGATCTGGACCACACTGGTCCACATGAGCCCAATGACCTGCTGGTGCCGTACAGGACCTGCTGGTACTGTGCTGGACCTGCTGGTGCCGTATGGGACCTGCTGGTGCCGTACTGGACCTCCTACTGGACCTGCTGGTGCCATACGGGACCTGCTGGTGCCGTACCGGACCTCCTACTGGACCTGCTGTGCAGCGGTGTGGGCTGTAATCAGCCACCACTGTGTTGTTCTGCCTGAAATGTCCTGATTAGTTTAGACCTGACCAGTAAAACTACTCGATGAATGATGTTCAAAGCAAACAACAAGCTGCTCCCTGAGATCAGGAGCAACATGGAACCTGTAAGTTAATGTTGATTTAGAAAAGAGCTCCATGAGCAGCAGACATCTACCAGTTACTGGATGAACTGATGGAGGAGTCTGGACGACGACCTCAAGATGAGTCCAACCATAAAACAGCTTCCACTGTCTTCCAGCTCTGATGACGGACCAGTCAGTGTGTCCTATAGAAGCCTGGATGCAAACAGGAAACATGAGGTCTGACACGTAGGAGCTGCTCTGCTCGTTCCCAGACAGTATTTCAGGGTTTGGCTGTTCTTGTTGTGTGTATTTTATTTTCTGCCTCCCTGATGCTGTGGCATGTCTGATATCAATCACATAACAACAAACTCTGGTACGTGTCTCAACTGTGACAGCGTAATGCTCCATCACGTTTCTGATGTTTTACTTTGTAAATGTTGAGCTGAAGCTTCACTTCTGAAGTGATGTTGTCAGTGAATGTGCTCTGTGCTGGTCCGCTACACGCAGTCTGCTGCTCAGTAGAGCTGGAAGAGCAGCACATACAAGTGGTGACGTGTGTGTTCAGGAGGAGACTCATGTGGACTTTGATGCCGGTGTTTCAGATTGCAGCAAAGATTGGAGGTGATGCCGGTCCTCCCGTTAACAACAACGCTGCGTCAGATGGCTTTTCTTTCACTGCACAGAAGCGGCAGCTGGAGGATGCAGGTAACGGCGCCTACACCTCGGTGTTGCACGCTTCACACTGACTTCCATGCAGGAGGTCCATTCACAGTAGATACCTGCTCTTCTCACCCCACAGATGAACCAGAGAGCAAGAAGCTGGCAGCGCAGAGTGACATGGACTCAGCCAAAGCGCTGTGTGAGTGGTCCGGCCGCTTCAGACAGTCTTTGTGACTCCCGGTGAACTGTTTGTGTCACGTTGTCCTCACAGAGTCGATTGTAACCCGAACCCTCTGCTCTGCTCTGTTCTCAGCTATCGGTGCACAGTTAGCTGCTCTCGCACAGCAAAGGTGAGAACTCAAAGCTTTCAGCTGACCGTGTTTTCTGTACAAGTGTTACTGATGCAGTTAGTGTGATTGGTTTCCTGTTTTCCTCCCATGCTGCTGGCGTCAGACCTTCCTCCGCCACAGAGGAGTACAGCGTTCCCGACAGCATGGTGGGCCTCAGTGAGTGCAGCTTCATTTTGACACCTACTCATGGACGTCCCATTGTTGTGACACATTCTTCTGACCCCCACTCTTCTCTCTTCATCAGTTATCGGCCGTGGAGGCGAACAGATCAACAAAATCCAGCAGGAGTCGGGTTGCAAGGTTCAGATAGCTCCAGGTACGTTTGGTGGACTTGGCCTCAAGAGTTGTGTTGTCTAGTTTACAGTTTTATTTTGCCTTCTTGGTGTTGAATGTAGTTCATTGTGCTCTCGGTGTGTGTTCAGATAGCGGAGGCCTTCCAGAGAGGAGCGTCTCTCTCACAGGCTCCCACGATTCCATACAGTAAGTCCATCTGCTCACCTGAGCCACCAGCTTTACAAGATGATGCACTGTGTTGGAAGTCTGGTTCTCCTCCGTCATGTTCAGACGGTTATCTGTACGACACGTTGCTGAAGCACAGAAATACATCATGTTGTAATCTGTAGTTATAGGCTGAGTGTGAAACTAGTCACTACCCACAATGTCATCTGTTTTTGTCGTGTTGTACGAATGTTAGGTTGCAATAGATCAGCCTTAAATAGTCACTCAAAGTGTCCCACAGTCCACCGTGGACAGCAGCGTATAGCTGACGGTCCCTGACCAGCCGGCGTACCATCATGCATTGCATCGAAGGAGAGCGGCAGACGGACCAGAGAGCCGACTGGCAGCACGTTTCTGACAGCTGTTTTATCGTGTTAGGACATATTTTCTACGGAATATATCTTTCTATTACATGTGTAAGTTGTTGAAATGACAACAGGCACGAAATAAACAAGTTGTGGTGCCGAAACATTAGAATTTAAAATAATAATTTCTATTAAAGTGTTTGGTGGAAGCAGAGCGATGTATCACAACATCAAAGAAAAAAGGTATTTTCACTTATTAATTTTGGAAAAAACGCTCAGTATAATATGAATTAATCACTAAAATGCTGGTTGGCTGCCAGCCACAGCCGCTGTCGGTCTGATTACATCTGTTTTAACTGAGCGACAGCACGAGACTCGAGCAGGGTCCGAAAATGTTGACTTCCAGGATCTCTACGTAGTCGCTGTCTAGTGGTGTGCAGACAGGGAGGAGAGACGACGGCATGAGTTTGGACACAGCCGTTAAAACATTAAAACCACCCGTCTAATATTGTGTAGGTCCAAAGGTTTCCCAGCAGCTCGTTGCAACCAGGGGCTCCGTGTCACTAACCTGCTTATAACTCATTGGTGTTTATCAGAGCGCTGTAAAATGAATGTGGAGTAACTGGTCAGCTCCTCCCCGGCCAGGAACGCCAAGAGGCTGCTGGATGAGATAGTGTCACGAGGAAGGGGCACGCCCCCTTCTTCTTATCACGAGTCCACCAACGGGCAAAACGGCACGGTCCATGAGATGATGATCCCAGCTGGCAAGGCCGGCCTCGTCATCGGCAAGGGAGGAGAGACCATCAAGCAGCTCCAGGTGTATATGATATGGCTCCTACTTTGGCGTTTTAATAAACCAGCTACTCTGGCTGATCACTGCACAGACAACATGCTCCATCTTTACATTAGCAAACGTTTCAGCCAGTTTTCATGTGTGTGAAGATAACGTGTGGTTTTCCAGGAGCGTGCAGGCGTGAAGATGATTCTGATCCAGGACGCCTCTCAGGGACCCAACGTTGACAAGCCTCTGCGCATCATCGGAGAGCCGTACAAAGTCCAGGTACGACTGTAAAACCATCTCACTGAGTTCACAATAAATGTGTGGACTGAATTAAGCTTCTCTTTTTTTCAGCAAGCCCAGGAAATGGTGCAGGAGATTCTGAGGGAGAGAGACCACAGCGGCTTCAGTGAAAGGAATGAGTTCGGCTCTCGAATGGGAGGAGGCATGGATGTAAGTTTAGCCGTCATCAGGGTCTTTCAACCAAATCCAACCTCTGACCAAAGAGGAACCCACATGTGTTTCAGATCCCAGTTCCACGACACTCGGTCGGTGTGGTCATTGGACGCAACGGAGAGATGATCAAGAAGATCCAGAACGATGCCGGAGTCAGGATACAGTTCAAACAAGGTGGGGCTCTGTCGGGACCTCAGAAAGCTCCCAGGTGTTCATGTGACACACTGGCTGATGTAAGATCCTGCCTGAACTGGATATTCAGGTTCTCATCATCACCTTTTATAAAGTAGTCTTAAAACACTCTTAATCCTAAGTGTAGTTATCGGTCTCGAATGGTGTCATGTGATTTGGTAGTTAAACGTAAATCACAGACTTAAATACATGTAAATGTGAATCTGAATAGGGACACATCCAGTCAAACACAGAAACATGATTCCTGTAAGAATGGAGTCAGTTACTCTTCTCAGTCAAACTGGTGGAAATGAATCAGGAAGCTCAGAGAACACTTTGCTGGATGCTGCAGAAGAGAACCAAAGACAAAACTACACAGAACGTCCTCGACCTTCTCTGCTTCTGTGGTTGATCGTCTGCCAACAGTCGCTGAATCAAATCTCTCATTTAAGTACAAGTTCTGAAATATGAATAACTTTTCACATGAAGTTCTTCATACATGTGCAAAACAGCTCTCATTTTTCTGATTTACTGACAGGACATGTATTATTGTAAAATGCTGTGTCTAGTCAGAGCCTCTTTTACAAACAGGGAAGTATTCATCAAAACAGCACCAGCATGTGTCTTTGTTTTTATGTGGGATCAGACAGCCGCATGGCAGCCTGTCCATGTGCAAAGCCTAGTGTTACTCAGAGCCCACTTTTAAATATGAAGAAACCCTGTTAATGCTTTTCCTCTCATCATGTGTTACACGCTGAGCTCCTATCCCTAACCTGGTCTGCTCAGTTCCTCAATCTAGATCTCTGCATTTGTATTATTTATTCATTTATCTTCAGAAAAGGATAAGAGACAACCATTCAGGTGAACAAGCACCCTCCTGCTCGAACAGCCAGGAGTGCTGATGGATGTTTAATCAGTGTTTTCTGAGCAGCTGCAGAGCTGCTTGTTCATTGTCGGCGCTTCAATCCGCTTCCGTTCACACGACGGATGTGATGCAGCGTCAGTGTCAATAAAATGCTGCTTCATGCACATTTCAATCCTTCTTACAGACGACGGCACCGGTCCTGACAAGGTCGCCCACATCAGTGGTCCGCCTGACCGCTGCGAGCACGCCGCCCAGATCATCAACGACCTGCTGCAGAGCATCCGGGTCCGAGAGGAGGGCCAGGGGGTACGGATCCCTGAGCAGTCACCTGCACCCTGCTTCACTTGTAGACTAACTGACATTGGCTCTACAACAATGAATCACCCAGCTAGCTGCCTGCACAGTTATTTTATAGCTAAACTTGTCTACACCAGTTGATCCCAGAGACACATCTGTAGGCCTCGGCTGTAGTCCTGAGACGTTCTCTCCTCCATTGCCAGGGTCCCCCAGGTCCTCCAGGGATGCCTGCAGGCAACAGGGGCAGAGGTGGGGGACAAGGTGGCTGGGGTCCCCCTGGAGGGGAAATGACCTTCTCTATTCCTGCCCACAAGTGTGGGCTTGTGATCGGCCGCGGAGGAGAGAACGTCAAGTCCATCAACCAGCAGACGGGAGCCTTTGTGGAAATCTCTCGACAGCCACCCCCCAACGGAGACCCCAACTTCAAACTGTTCATCATTCGGGGGTCGCCACAGCAGATCGACCATGCCAAGCAGCTCATCGAAGAGAAGATCGAGGTACTGACGTGTTGGTTTTTAGCTGCTGAACAAACAGGCAGCAGCTCAAGTCCTCGCCTGCAGAGACAGTCCCAGTCACTGGGACCCGCCTAACCAGCTTACAACTCGTATGATGTGTTTCAGGGTCCTCTGTGTCCTGTGGGCCCGGGGCCAGGTGGACCTGGTCCTGCTGGTCCGATGGGTCCCTACAATCCCAACCCATACAACCCCGGACCACCTGGGGCTCCTGGACCCCCACAGTGAGCAGCTGATGTTCCACCAGCTTTAGACGCATGTAGCTGCACCGGGATGATTCTGAGAAGTTTTTAATGATCTTCTTTTCTCCTCAGGGGGGGTCCTCCAGGTCCTCACCAGTACACCCCTCAGGGCTGGAGCAACACCTACCAGCAGTGGCAGCCCCAGCCACCCCACGACCCCAGTGAGTCACCCTGGACTTCACCGTCCCTGCTGCTTTTAAGGGATCAGTGTTCACAATGATGTCTTGTCTTTATTCAAGCTTGCTATATGTCCACTGCACGCTGCTCACACTCTGATGAGTAATGACACTTTTCTCTAAACTTGGAAAGGTCAGCAGGAGTACTGATGGAAATGTTGTGATGAGATGCAATGTGTTGACGTGTAGCAGCTCTGGCTAACCCTGTCTCTGTTTCCCCCCTGGTCTCCAAGCCCGGTCTCCAGGCCAGTAGCAGGGGCTCACCCTCACCCTATGAGGACCTCACCCCCTCCACCCTGCATCTTTTCTAGGCAAGGCAGCAGCCAATGATCCCAACGCAGCCTGGGCGGCCTACTACGCTCAGTACTACCAGCAGCCGTCAGGGGCTGTGCCCGCCCAGTACCCCGCAAACCCAGCCGGAGGCGGCCAAGCGTCCGGAGACCAGACCCAGCCTGCACAGACCCCAGGGGGCCAGCCAGACTACACCAAGGCCTGGGAGGAGTACTACAAGAAGATGGGTGAGATGGCTGCTGCAGCTCTGCCTGCTGTTCATAATGTGTTGGTGTGAACAGTGAGTGGGTCAACAGAAGAACTGTCAAAGGGACGTGACTGTAGAGCAGGAAATAGTGTTTAAAAAGCATTAATTAATCACTCTTAATGTTGGGAGTTCAATCATACACCACTGTGTTACATAGAACTGTCGCATAAATATGCACATCTTTTGGTTTTTGTGCAAATAAAACAGCAAATCAGCACATTAATATAATCAACGGTGATCAAACCAAAAGATATTATCACTTGAAAATAAGTACTGAAAGCTAATTCTGGTAGTTTAATGATAGCAGCTGGACCTGCTTGAGTTCCTTGAAGACGTTCCACCTTCATCCAAGAGGCTCCATCAGCTCTGACTGACGAGTTGGGAGATCCAGATCCTGATACGGATGAGAGGTGAAACGTCTTCAAGGAACTCAAGCAAGTCCAGTTGCTACGATTAAACTATGAGAACAACCACGACCTGGAGGACTGAGGATCTTGTTTGGTTTTTTTGAATATTTTATTTAGATTTTTTTTCAATAGAAACAGACAGACAACAGGCACAAAGACAAGAGGACCTGATAGAGTTTCAAAATATGTAAAAGAACAACAGGCAAAGGGGGCAGTGCAGTTTAAAGCTGAAAGATGTCCATAAAATTTAAAGGAGAACAGCCCCTCGTCCACAGGGTCCTCAATAAGAGACAAAATTAAACAAATAAAACAGGAAAAAACAAAACAACAGCAAAAACACATTATAAAGCAAATGAACACAAGACACAAACAAACAAAAAAACAACAGCTTGGCTGGGGTCCTGTCCTGTACATCACACAGTAATCAGACAAGGAGGAGATGAGCAGATACAGGGCAGCAGCTACACCAGGGTTCTTAGTTAAGCTTTGTCCAGCAACAACGGAAAGATTTCCACATCTGTAAGAAGTAGTTGTAAGAATTTGATCTGCTCACGTGAATCTGTTCCATCTCAGCAGCAGAAAGCATCTCATTAAGCCACCTGGTAAATCGTGGAGATGCTGCAGACTTCCAATTCAACAATATTCTTTTTTTTTTTTGCAACCACCATGCTGGTGCTGAGGGCTTGTTTTTGATGGGATGGAAGAGATTTTGTCTCGTCAGAGCAGCCCAGTATTGCTAAGAGGCTAAATGGATGTTTGATGCTGTTGGGAGAACCAGTCAAATATGTCCGACCAGAATTTAGTGAGCGCTGAACGCTGCCAGAACTGGTGCTCCAGTGAACCTTCTGCAGCGCCACACTTGTCACACTGAGGGGAAACTGATTCAAATATTTCAGACAGCTCTACTTTAGAATAATGCAGCCTATGGATGACTTTAATTGGATTAATCTGTGTCTGGAATTGACTGAGCAGGACTTTGTGTGGGATAAGCCCTCCTCACTTGACAGTAGAATCCCCAGTTCCTCAGCGGATGACTGAGAGTCTTCACAGACACACTGAAAGTTTTACTGAACACAAGACAAATAATGGAACAACTGATTGTTAATTCTGTTTTAGTTGTGATTGGTTTTGATTAATGTCTGTCATTTCTGGGTAGGTAGCAGCTGTTTGGTTCGGTGGTACACATCCTTTTAGCCACTAATTGATTTGTACCATTTCCTCAGTAATGTTCCTAATTAGGAGAATGAGGAGCAGTCTCTGGTTTCATGCTGCGCTTTGCGGAGCTTCAGAGAAGAGCTGCACTACATGCTGTTTCTATTCAGCACGTTCAGCTTTCTCATCTATGTTTTGTACTCTTTTAAAACCGTCAGCAGTGGACCAGACAGAGTACACGTTGTCTGGTCTCAGTATGCAAACCTTACATTTAGGAATCTCCAAATGTTTCGTTGTGCTGCTGTTTTGAGAGGCAGAGTGAACTTGTCGTCCTTCTTGTGTCACCTCCAGCCCAGGCAGGCGGCTCTGTACCTGGGACAGCAGCTGCAGCTCCAGGAGCAGCTGGAGGAGCGGCGTCCTCGACAGGAGGCCAGCCGGACTACAGCGCCGCCTGGGCAGAGTACTACCGGCAGCAGGCGGCCTACTACGGCCAGACTGGACCGGCGCCCGGCCAGCCAGCCGCTCCACAGCAGGGACAGGTCGGTTCAGAGGCTCCAGTCAGCTTCTCTCTGGATATTTGGTCGATATTTGGCTTTTGTCTGATTATGGGTATTTTTACTGATCGATTATTGATTAATTAAACGTGGCAGTAGGGTCTGATGCAGCTCCTCTCTCTCAGAAATGTCTCTCAAGCAGAAAAACTGAACAAGAAACACAAAACAGGAAGTTAGCTTCTCTCATAGTGGCTAATGCTATGCTAATGGCTAGCGGCTAAGTTAGCAGGCAGCTACAGATTAACCGGAAGACAGGAATCGATAACGCTGTAGGATGTGGACCTTATAGATAATAACAGTGATGGGACAGAGAAGGATGAAGAACACAGAGATGATTGATCAGGAGACAAACTGATCAGTCACATAAACAGAGGAGATCATTTCATCTCTCCTGTTTCTGTTTGACATATTCAGTCACAGTCAGCTTATTGATGAAGAGGCCCAGTTATGAATGACAGCTTCCTGCTGTCACAACATTACTTTTAAGGTATATCAGTTATCAGCCTCTTTATTGCCAATAAGCGGCATCGGCCCCAAACAGCCCACATCAGTGGATCCCTAGATCTGATCCCTGTTTGGTATTTTTCTGCCTGCTGCTTCTCACATTTCACATTTTATCCCTGTATGACAGTAAGTTCACGCTGACGTGCTTATTCTCAACTGTGTGTGTTTCAGACGCAGTGAGAGTTCACGGCAGGACGTCTGCAGGCTGCTGGAGAAGACGACCGTGAACTCTAGGCCAGGATCTAGCCATTTAAGTTCTATTTTTTTTATGATTTGTTGGAGAAATGACACCCTTCCTCACCACTGAACATCATCTGGATCCTTTTTAATAAACATGTGAACTGAACAAATGTGCTTTGCTGCTGAGAGGAGGGAGAAGACTGACTGATGTGATCACGACAAGCAGACTCTTTTGGCGAAGCTTCTTTACGTCTCTGCATACGTTGATATAAACATGGAAGCCTTGAAATGCTTACTTCAATGACTGAGTGGCCAATATGTCATCGTTGATTTATTATCTTTCATTTTAGACACTTACCTTTATATCTCAGTGTTATATTTACTAAATTGCACAGCTTTAGGACTATAATCATGTTGTGTATCTGGCACAGGTGGTACATCAGACAAATACTTTTTAAGGCCCGTTTGATCGACTGATTGTTTGGATCTTTTAATTAAATCGTCACATGTCCCTCTGTGGAGGCTTGCATGGTGTTTCAACTTGTGTACATTTGGATTGTTTTTCCTTTTTACGTATGAATGTGTTTGTGTGGCTGAGACAGTTTGACGTTGTTATGCATGTGGGATGACTGGTACCGTGTGCTGGGTGGAAACATGAACAAAGCAGGGCTAGCCCTCACTGGTGCAACAGTTTTAGTGGAAAAATGGAAATCTAATCTAAACTGTGTAGTGATGTTAGAGGATGAGCCATGAATGTGGCTTTGGACAGGAGTGGATAATGTGGTTCATGTTGCCTCAGTTTATTTTACATTATCGTCACCTGCATCTGCATTTCACCTGTTTGTGTCCTAAATTGTCCCTCCTGAGACAGTTTATTCACTTGAGAGCTTTAGTGTTGAGTTAGAAAAACTCCTGCTAATTGTGGATGGAAGACCAAAAATCTGCTTTTGTCAGATCGGCCCAGCTTGATGTGAACAATCCTAGTTACTGGTGATTGTCAGACCTTTTAAACCCAACGCGCAGGGCATCCATCTCACTGAGACAGCAGCATCACTGTCTTCTTCAGTGTCCCGGTGACTCCAACTCAAGCCAAGTCGGGATTTTGTTTCATCATAAAGTTGCACGTTATTGTCTTTTACTTTGGTTTTTAGGGAATGCCAACATCTTTTACCTTCCAGTCATTGTTTGTGTGATGATTTGAAACTGAGTCTTCCAATGTGTCCCACTTTAATATATCTTGTATAAATCCACATACTCAGCAATATACCGCTGTTCTCACCTACAGACATGTATCAGGTATGACTCTTGTATTCTGAATGGCAGCTGTGAGTCTTGCCTTTGGCAGCAGTGTTGATATTGTTAATAGATGACCACCAGCAGCAATAATCTGAATTAAAGAGGCAAATGTCCATTACTTTAAAATGTGCATTTTTATCTTTCATGTTCTTTTGCAAACACAACACATGACCGAAGCACAGTCGAGGTAAAACGCCACCAGATGTCCCCGTATGTCCTCAGATCAATCATTCTGGGCTGCAAAGTTCAGTGGTTAGAGTATCTTCCATTCTTGATTGGAAAACTGAAATTAAGATGAATTACTAACTTGTGAGGATGCGCCGGTGGGGATCCAGCACGTTATTAAAACCAATATGGTGATGCATTATTTCAGTTCTTTAGTCTCAATCCGCATGTGGTTTAAAACACCAAGTACTTGTCTTTATACTTTCACGTCTCTGTTCATTTACCTGTAATTCTTTCACGCAGTATTTCCAGGCTTCCACCGAACTGTCAGGATTTGCCAATAAAACTAATGTGTTTCTGTTCACTGCACGAGCGGGCTGACTGTTAGCGTCAGAGAGCACCGTCATATTTACACCACTGCAGCAAACATGCTAACAGACAAGTATGTGTGTGTGTGTGTGTGTGTTTTGTTACCACCCAGGAAGTCGGCGTCGGTTCACCAACCAACAGTGTGAGGTTTAGCAAGATGGTGACAGACGGTGTCACTTCCCAACATGAGTCACGTGTGAAAAGAGGAGATACAAGTGCAATTTTAAAAATTCTTTTAATTTATATCTTTAAAATTAAAAACATCTGAATTGCATTCTACCACCTCCAAAGGCACAGTCATACTTATAGCAGACCAAATTCATAAAACACTGCCACCGAACATCTTTTTTCTCAGTTTGTTTTGTACATAAGAAACAATGCACTATAAAAATGACTAAACAGTTTTTACTGGGTAAACAATGGCCATTCTGTATGCTGTAGATCACTAACAGACTGGAGTGATATGTACTCAGCTGTGGTAGTATTAGACTCCATAGAAAGGATCATGTGCTGGTCTGAGGCTGCCAATGCCTGTTGAAAAGACGTGCATTGCAGCTGTTTAAAGACATAGTATTGAAAAATTCAAAAATGACATGTTTGCGACAACCAGTCTTGACAAACAGTGTTTAAGAAAATGGATGTTTGAAGCAAAACAAAGCCATTGGCAGGAGGGCGGAAACGCAGTGAGACGAGGGAAATGAGTGCTGGTGGAGGACTGTGCAGAAAAAGCCGTCAGATCTCGCACCTCGCATGAAATTCTCTGAACCGTACCGAGTGGCAACAGATGTTTGCATGAAATCTGACACCTCCACCTCACCGTGAAGAACACCGAAGACTTCAATGAAAATTAAGAACATTTCAGGTTACTCTGTCTGAGTTTTAAAGACAACAGTCAACATGTGCAAAGAGGCAGGGCCTTAGCCTGTTTGTGGAAAGGTCATGGGATATGATGTAGGACTGATAACTGGACGTACAATCACAAATCAGTAATGCACGCAAAGGTTGCTTACAATGTGTGACAACACAGCACCATACACTGCACAAGAGGTTCACTTAGTGACAACAAAAGTCAAAATAGTGGATAAATATACAGTAGAATATAAGTATATCACCGTTCTTACTCAGGCACAGTCCTCCTTAAAACATAGAGAGAGAATTAAAAAACAACAGGATCCGGTTTGGCACACACAAGGAAAAACAGAGAAATAAGGCAAGAAAGCAAAATGAAAGAAGAAATGAGGCCACAGAGGAACTTACTGGATGGGAAGGATTGAAGCACTTTGAACATAAATATGACACATACAGTACCTCTCTCATGGAACAGATGTTCAGTAAAGGAGAGAGGATTTTTTGCAGCAACTAACGGGAGTCCCTATTCCACAGCCATAGCTTTGTCTGTACAGGTGTGTAGCAGCTGCGACAGGCACTCCAAGAACACAAGAACGTTTCCTTTACAGGCCAATAAAATCAAACAGGAATTCTACACACGCCTCCCAAATCAAGAACTTGAGTGTCTTAGAAAATATCTACAGAACAGTCAACACTTGGCATGACTTACAATCACACAACCATGGAAAGCATGTTGAGTCAGCCTCCAGAGAAACAGCAGAGCGCTGCCACCACAGTGCTCCGACAGCAGACAGAAAACAGACAAACCCACCTAAAATCCCAACTGCCTGCTGTAGTGTTCAGCTGTCTGAGGTCCACTGTGCTGCCTCCTCCTGCAGACGTTACCTTTACACACACATCACAGTATTTAAAGACCACTTTGATACGGCAGTGACAGGTTGAGGAGGATCGAGGGCGAGCACAAGTTTCTCAGCGAGGCTACAGGTGGCAATGCAATGGGAGAAATAAAACATGCCTGGCTTTGTTCATTTTTACAGATTCATACAACTGAAGGTGGAAACGCTCTGTGTGTCTGTTTGCGTTGAGAGACTCTGGTGTTTGAAGCCACGTCCTATTGCGCTGCCAGTGATGCTGGATGTAGTCAGCGGTGCCAACAGCTGGTTGTGCCGTACAGGCAGCAGCAGTTACTGACTGAGCGTGCTTTGATTGTGTGTTTGTGTGTGCCTAAACAACACACACAATCAAAACAGTACGCAGCGAGTGTGTGCACACACATCGACAAGATCTATATACATGTGTCAGGTGTATAAATTAGTGTTCTTTGTACATCTGTGTGTGTGTGAGATCAGTATAATCGGCCCACATCTGTCGGTGTAACAGTGCCGCTAGTTGTCAGCTGACCCGGTGGTGAACAGGACTCTCTGGTCAGTTCTGGCCAGCTTGGCCGGCGGCTCCAGAGACTCCTCTCCCAGCACGGCACCGTCCGAGGGAAGGCTCAGCTCCTGACCTTCTTCATCACTTTCCTCCTCCTCCTCTTCTTCCTCTTCTGTGACGTAACAGAGATGGTTGCAAAGCATGCTGGGAATGTGACTGTAGTTAATGTGACTTGAAACAGAAATGGTACCGACCTTTGTCAGGATCCAGCTGGTTCAGACCCCGGCCTAAACTGGCAAACTAATGGCAAGATGGGAGAGGGTTAGCACGGCATATGTGACTTGTGTTATCCTGTTTGTGTGTGTGTGTGTGTGTGTGTGTGTGATGATACCTCTCCCATAACAGCAATGGGGGTCTCTCCTTTAGCTTGGGCCACTCTGTGCTCTATCAGGTAGTACATGTACTCATCATACAGCAGGCGGATCAGGTGAAAGGATCCAAAGCTGGCTGCACTCCTCAGGGTCAGGTCTCTGATCACCATGGAGCTGGAGAGCAGAGGTGGTGGGTCAGCTGGTGTCACACCTAAACCAGTATCACTTCTCTACACACAAACAGGAAGTACCATTTCTCAGCACCTTTTCCTCCAAAGTATGAGTCACCTGTCTCTTAATGATTCTCATGATGATCAGATGATTTGCTAATTCATGACCTGAACTTATCATGAACTCCAACACATGATTTTTGTGCTTCAGAAGGGAAGTAGGGATACGATTGTGAGTTGAGAATGGACACTACAGATAAAATCCTCCTTATCTTATAACAAGGGGGCGGGGGAGAAGAAGAAGCCTATCCCAGCTGACTCAAGGCAAAGGCAGGTTCACCTGGACAGGTAAGCAGTAGGAGGAGAGGCGACGGAGCTAACCACCGAGCCACCGTGCAGCCTCTCATAATGACTGATCCTGTAAACGCTACATCATCACACCTGTAAAAGGACCACTTCAGAAGGAAGAGCTTGGCGGCCTTGGGGAAGGCAGGGCTGTGCTGGTAGGGCTTCAGCACCTGGGAGACCACACCATCCAGCCACGCCGCCCACTGCTCCAGTGAGTTCTGCTGCTGCAGGGTCAGCTTGAAGTCCTGCTCCAGCCGCTGGACCACTCGGTCCTCACACCTGCACACCCACGAAGCCTGCTCCTGCAACGGGCAAGCAGAATGAAGGCAAAGTGTCAGGACCAAGGCTCACACCTGCTATGAGTTTTACTAGCGGAGGGCAGCAAGGTGGCTTCATGTTCACACCGATTATCCTTCAAACACACGACTCAGGTTACAGGTATGAGTGGAAATCACTACATGTGCTGCAGAAGGGTCTTTGACCAAGACATTATACTCAACACGATGGAAGGTGTATCTCATCACATGCCTTTGAGAAAAGGGGAAAAGTGGGCTCGAAAAGTGACACGAATAGACAGAATGATTGACACTGACTGAACAAGAACAAATGAAACCTCATTGAAACCACAAGCTGCAGCAGAAACTGTGGCAGATGCATAACAGAACTCCAAAGCAGGATTGCAGCACTGACACTAGCAGTCATGTGAAGTTGCACCAGTGCACCGACTGACTAAACCAACCTGGACGTTCGCAAAGTCCACACGGTTGAGGTCGGAGAGCATCTGGTTGATCTGGGCTGTGTTCTGGAGGACAGCGCGGGCGGCCTGGGCAAGGTGGTTCAGACTGGTGTAGCGACGCAGAGTTTGGGCAAACGCATTGGCTGATGTTACCTGAGAGAGCAGCAGGAGGAAGACGGAGAACATGAACACAGTTCTACAAACATCCTAACATAGCAGAAGGAGAAATGTGTGCACAGTCCTGCTCTGGTCCCTGACGGGGCATGAAAGAGCTGCACCTTATATAACACTGTCAGATTCAGGGATGGTGACAAAGCTTCACAATGAGACCATTACCAAAGAAAATGTTCACAACCCGCTGCTTTCCAGAAGCAATGATTTGCGTGATTTCATTGTTATTTTCACAAAAGCTGCACAGTAGAGCTGACGAATAATGAGGCTGACTTTATGTAACATCAACGCAGGCCCCCATTCAAGAAAGCACACCAGGGAAACTCCCAGACATCTAATAACTCCTGAGCATGCAGTCAGACTCAATTACAGCATGCTTTCATAATGTCTGATCTTCAGAAAACAGCTGATCGGTGGCTCAGAAAGCACACTGTTGAGCTCATCCAGAGGGACTGTACCTTGATGCGAACCATCTCCTCTGGGATGTTCATCATGGCATTAGTCAGCCAGCTCTCCAGGCTCTTGGCAAAGTTGCGGATGGCTTGAGTTAAGGCACCTGTGGGCAGATCAGAGTATGTTTACATTTGTTTCACCAGGACAAAGGATCATCAGACACACGGTCAGCACAGCTGCATTTCTACTGGACAAACACATTTACTGGCCATGTATGTGAGGAGCTGGACTTCCAGCGTTTCCAAATTACAGAGATGTGGAAAATATTTCTTTGGCAGCACTATGGTGGCATAAAAATCAAGACAGTTCCAATGAGCAGCAGTCAGAGTCTGACTAAAAGTGAAACTGAAAGGAACACATGTAATCCCAGTGACTGAGTTTTCACAGCAGAGCAATGAATGGAAAACACTGTGTTGCTTCACATCAGAGCCAGAACAGCAGTCCGGATGTTTCAACTAAGAAATCAATCATGTCAAAGGAATGCTGAATTATTCTAAATGTCAGAGTGTCTGTGTTCTCTCATAGGTTTGTTCTTATTCGCTGCAGGTGGCGGCGAGGTTTCAGCATAGTTCTGTATTTGTAGTAACATATTTGTAGGCACAATATGATGCGTCACAGCTTCTTGTGGAGCCTTACTGGGGATGGGTCTGAGGACGTCAGGGATGAGGATCTCCACCAGGCCCTGGTACAGGCTGTTGTCACAGTCACGGCTCCAGCGCAGCACTGGGTCGTACTTGCACAGTAACACCAGGCAGGACTTTGGGAGACGCTTCTCTGACTCATCGTGACTGTTAAGACACACCCAGAGTCTGAATGGACAAACTGCTGCTGCAACAGGAACTGAATTTTCTTCCAAAGTTGGGACAAAATCTGAATCTTGACTGAAACGTAAGCACTCACACAGCCAGTGTCGCATCTCCAGCCTGACTCTGGCTGAACCTCCAGAAGGTCTTCCACAGAGTCTCCACCAGGGTGAACTGCAGGTTGACCATCACGTCCAGGATGGCCTGACAGAGCACAGAGAAAACCTCTCAGTGACACACAGATGTGGCATTACTGGACTTGACCCTTGATTTAGACAACGTGACGTTTCCTTTCTCCAGTAAACATTGTCAGTTAGGGTTAACCCTAACCCTTTACTTTCATTCTAAGTCCTCTGTGACTCACTTACAGTACAACTAGACAGAAAAGTCAGCCTTATGGTTACCTCACAGTGTTCTCTGTACAGCAGCTGAAAGCTCTTTATGTGCTCCAGCTCGATGCCCTCTGGTAGAGACTTCCCCTGGAGGTCGATGTCTGGGAACTCTGGAAGAGCTCTGGATGCATCTGGACACAGGACAAACAACACTGAATGCTCAGAGGGGAAACCTGTCCGTGGACATGAGGATGCTGTTTTAGAACACATGGGGGACATACTGTAGTGTTTACATGGAACATAGAGAAATGTGGTTCGGTGTTGATTGGTAGCTAAACTCACCCAGGAACTGCTGGTACTGCTGGACCTGGGTGCTGATGTCCACGTGTCCTGAGCCCTGCTGCTGCTGCTGCTGCTGGCTTGCTCCTGCTGCTGTGCCATTGGTCATTCCTTCCACTTTGTGCACAGGCTTCAACCTGAAAGGAGCGGGAGGAGAAGGACATGACACATTCAGGTCCAGACAAACGCCATAAATAATGAATATGATAAGACCAGCAGGTGCCGGCAGTCACAGGAGCGTTAAAATAAACATATTTAGTGTGAAAAATGTAGGAAAAATAAGATTCAGTGACAGCTGTATAGAGGACATAGATTCAGAAGGAGAAATGGAAAAAGACAAATGCTAATGGAGTTGTAATGATACAGAAAATGTGCTTGAATGTGGGTGAGGACATGTGAATGTGTACCTCTGTTTCTGAGAGAACGGCTGTTGCCTCATGGCCAGATGTTGCTGGTCCTCCATCAGACGGAGAAGGGAAGAGCCCGCCTTGATTCTCAGCCCATAGTAGTGGTATTTAGAATTACCCCTGCCAGAAAAAGAACATACATCAACTGTAGCCTGCTTTTGCACATCTCCTAAATGTGTAGAGAAGAAAGCAGGAGGGTGAGGACCGGCTTTACACTTAAACTACATGCTTAGTCTAAAATATATGCCTTCAAACCCCAAAACCTGCCAACGGGCTCCAGAGGAATGGTTCTTCAAAAGAAATCACTAAAACTACACCATTTACTGGAGCAAGGAACTGCACCAAAAGAATTGATCTTCAACTTTCCACCGGTCCTGGAGCTAATCATCTGTGAGGTGACATGCTGTTTTGTGGAAAATGTAACCAGATCTAAGTGTGAAATTATGACATTTCATCAAAAATAACTTCATTTTACACGGCAAAAAAAAAGCCACTTGATCCTGATCTGCAACCAACAACTCCCAGGGAAGTGAACCGGGCTGAACTTCTCTCAGATATGAGACAAGAGTGGAAACCCACGTAAAATGTAAGCAGTCGAATATTCATAGTCTGTAAGCACTTTCTTTTTTTCATTTTTGTAGAAGAAATAATCGAGGGAATTGAACTTTAGTTTGTTTAGGAATGTTTTTGTCCATTCTAACTTAATTGGATTATATATTATTACATTTTTGAGTTGCTTCTGCTTCTAGCCGTGATTGTGTTGTTTCCACAGCAAGTCAAACTGTGACATGAGCTCAGGGTTCAGAGGACTAAAGATGTTAAACTTCACAAAACAAAATACCCACACATACAGTGTCTATAAAGGTATGATAATTCAACCCATACTACCAAGTATTTCTAAAAAGCCTTTTCACTCGCTCTCCCTTCCTTTGTCAAACTCACCCACACACATGCTGTCTGTCTTCATGTCTACCCACATTTCTTCCTACACAATCAGACATTTTGCAGAGCTTCAGAGAGCTCTATAGATGTTCCAAGACTAATCTCCATCAATCTCCTGCTGGAAACTATGCCTGCATGTTCAGTCATTTGGATTTGTATTCATATGGATGATATACATGTTGAAATGAACCACACAACTTCTCCTGCTAGCGGTGGTGGAGGGACTCTGGGGCAAAGTGGTATCTCTGCATTTATCCCTCTGTGTGCATGCCTCCTTTTTGCATTGATATTTGCTTATAAAAGAGCAAATGAGGCAGAAAAATACATTTAAAAAACAGCACATTTGTAAGGACTAGAGGGCACAACTGTGTTGAATGCACGTGTGCATATGGTCGGTTAGGTGTGACGACCAGTCTTACCGTGTACCCAGGCGGCGTGTGCGTAGCCCCATGAACACAGATCTAATGAGCTTCCCGAAAGACGCAGCGTTCACAGGCTCCAGTTTCTGCTCCTGGCAGTGCAGCAGGTAGTGGCAGTAAAGGGTGGACCGTGGCAGACTCACACCTTCAGCTGTCTCATAGTTGTCCAGCAACCACTGTACCTGACACACAGGCAACGAAACCAAAACATAGCTGGTGCAGTTAGCAAAGCCAATAGATACCAACGGCAAAACACACCTCAATTTATGTGCACACAATCATCTCATTAGCAAACACATTACGCACTTTGTCGGCTTCATATGCAGAACATGCACACACATTTCTCTAACTGTTAAATCGTACAAACACAAATCGATCATCCAGGAATGAAAAGACAAATACATCCGTTTGCGTGCCGTGGCATACAACTTTGGTATGCAATGAATCAATGACCTGGAATAGTGATGGGATGTCTGCCAAACACATTTTGGTTACCGCTATCATATGGGATTCGATATGATGAATTTAGGATGAACAATATAGGGTTGGAGCATTTCAGGCACATTAAAAATGCCCCTCATCACATGCACTGCAATGATATGAAAATGATGAGGTCATGGTTTTGTTTTCTTTGAGGAGGAAATCACAGTTAAAGAATACCGTATCCTGCAAGTTTTAATGCAATCAATACTCAGAGTACAGAAGTTTTCTGGTGGCATTTTTAACTGTGCTTTCTATTCGACAAAACTCAACTATGACGTCATCAGTGTGCGCCACCAAAGGGTTGTGTGGATGAGAACAAAACGAGAAGAAATTCCTGCGCTTGGCGCCTCTGCATACCTTCTTGTCTGCCGACGGCACGCTACTCTCCTCGCCCTCTGTAATACTCACAGTGGCTGGGGAGGCGCGGGCGGTGTGAGAGTAGTTCTGACTGTTGCTAGCTGCCCCTCCACTGCTGCTGCTGCCCAGCATGTAACCCCCCTGGATCACATAGCTGCCTGCTGCGCCACCATTGGTGCCTGCCCCATCCCCTGCCCCGTTGGTGGTACCACCTGCCGTCACCACCGTGGTTCCTCCCCCGGCTGCACTAGTGGGCTGAGCCACAAACATGGATACGCCCCCTGTGGTGCCGGCAGTCACAGAGACAGTCAGAGGTGTGCCGGGGGTGGAGGCCTGGGAGCCCGAAGTGGGCTGACCTTCATAGTATGGGGCAGCTGTGGTCTGGGTGTACAGGGGGGTGTCAGTGTAGGGGAAGGTGCTGGAACGGCTGGATGAGACACATGTAGAGTCGTGTTAGAAAGCAAGCAAACTGATGAAGAAGGTCAACTGTAAGACAGAAAGAAAGGTTTGTCTGGACATGTGCTAGAAAACGATGGTTGTATTCTAACATGGTGCTGGTGGTGTAGTTCGTGTCTCCTCCTTCCACATACTGCACTTGATTGGTGTACACATGTTGCACTGGCACTGATGTGAGCTGCTGCTGGACCTGAGGAGTGAACCAACACACACACACACACACACACACACACACACACACACGATATCCAATGAATCCTTGCCCACCTTTTTAGACCACATCAGCTGTTTCATTACCCACAACCTGAATGTCTTTGGTGTGTCTTACAATGAAAGCAACATGCTCGTGTTAGCCACAGAGACGTTCTCTGTTCCCTTAACGCTACAGCAGCGTCTCCCTGACCTACTTGGAAAGTGGAAGCTGAAGTCTGCAGTGGAGGCTGACCGGGGCCTGAGCTGGTGTCTGCAGAATGATCTTCTTTCTTTTTCTCAGCATACACAGAGGGCAGGTAAAACTGATGGGGGTCCGGGTGGAGGTAGAGGGGTGTGCAGTCTGCTGGTGCCTGGGCCAGGCATCCTGGCTGTCCTGTCTCATGATGCAGCTGCCTTTCTAACTTAAACCTGACTAACCTGATCTTCTCACCGCAAAGGGAAAGCTGAAACGTGACGGGTTTGACCGCAGATATGAGAGCTGACGAATACAAAGCCAAATTGTGAGGAAGTTGCAGAGCTTTAGATGTGTCAGACTTCACGCCGATTACACATTTTGTGATGTCAAACGGTCATGACTTGTTTTTGTTTTCTAAAAATGTGTGTTGGTCGGTGACAGTACAAGTCATTGTGAGACATCATCGCCGCCCACCACGAAGGAACTGTGATGTGCATGTGTGTGCCTTACCTCCTGGGTGATGTGAACAGGCTGCAGACTGGTGACACTGAGCTGCGTGCCTGGCTCAGTCTTGGCTATCTGGGAGGTGGCCTGCACCACGGACCTCTGCTGATATAAAGACACCTTCAGTGCAGGGGAGTTTTAAAGTTAAGAAAAAACACTATTTGGTGTTGTGTGCACACTTTACCTGCTGAGCTGTCTGTACCTGCTGAACAACCTGGGTGGGAACTCCTGTCTGCACCACGGCTGGAGGGGGGCTGGAGTCGGACACACTGTCACTTGAGTGAAGGGAACCCTCTGAAAGATGAGGAGGCATGTAAGTACGTGGGCAAGTGATTTGCATTATTTTACAGTTTTTTCTCAGTCCCTTTGGTTCACTTCTCAGATCAGAATTGAAATTCTGAAAACTACGAGTTCAATCTTCACATCATTGTGTCGCTTGTGCAGTTTGTCATTTCTTTGAACGAGTTATAAATGCTTTGGTACATGGTCCATGCTGTACGTACATTCTCTGCTGTTTCCTACATTATCAGCTGCTCATATCATGCTGATCAGAATGTATGATAATGGGTCTCTGTTGGATAGTCTCACCCCCACAACGCTCAGGCATTAGCTCATCGCATACGTCTTTACAAGGTGTCAGAATATGTCGAGCATATTTCTATACATTTCCATCAGACTTGTTTTCTAAATCTGTCCTGAATTGGCAAATTGTTCCCAGGTGGGTCTAAACTTTCTCTGATGAAGGGAAATGTGTGCAGCATCACACAGATCAACTAATGATCAACCAGTTTTCTGAAATAGCTCAAAGGTGCATCTTATGAACCATCAACTGGCAGGTATAGAGGAAGACTGCTCTGTAGCTCCTACAGCACTGCATGTACAGTTCTCCCTCAGGAGGCTGCCCTATGTTCACATTTCTCCTTTAGTTGTTTGTCTCTGTGCCGTGCAGTGCTGTCTCGTCCTTTCTGTATTGCAGTGACATGGTCTGTCAGCTAACTACAGTACAAAGAGTAAAAGCTAAATGTGAATCTGGTCCAGTCCCTTGCAATTAATCTCCCACATACACTAAGGCAGGGGTGGGCAATCCTGGTCTTCGAGGGCCACAGTCCTGCATGTTTTAGATGTTTCCTTCTTCCAACACACCTGATTCAAATGATCAGGATGGTTATCAGGCTTCTGCAGAGCTTGATGATGAGATGATGATCATTTGAATCAGGTGTGTTGGAAGAAGGAAACATCTAATACTTGCAGGATTGCGGCCCTCGAGGACCAGGATTGGACACCCCTGATTTAGAGCCAGTAACTGCCTGCTGCAGGTGATCCATGAGGTTTTGCTATTCGTACGAATTGTTTTGAGAAATGCACTGACTGTTTTGCAGATGTCGAGGATGATTCGAGAAATGTACCAAAGCGACTGAGGAAGACTGCAATTTCATTAAGTCGATGATCTGTTGCTATTTTGTGATTCCAATTCTTGTCGCCAAAACATTTCAGATGTTTCGAGGTGTGATGCTTAAACGTGTGTAAGTAACTTAGTTCATGGAAAATGTGAACAAATCTCACCTCTTAGGAATATACATTTACTAAATTTGATAAGTTAAATCAGACTTACGAATGATTTTTATAAAAAAATGTCTTTCGAAATCGGCTACTCTATAAATAGAGATGCTAATTTTCAACTGTCCAGCATCTCTCGACACAGAAGTCCAAGGCTATGTTAAGAAACCCAAACACATCTACATGTTTACACTATTGATAATATTACATGCTTTTGCAGCAGCACATATATACAAATGGCAACGGTTGTGCAGTAAAAAATATGTACTTGACCAGTAAAATGATGACTGAGGATTAAGAATCTCCAGTTTCAAGACAAGAAACCAGTAAAGTTTGGAGGTGAAATGCTGCTTGTGTGCCCACAGTGTAACTCCAAAGCCTGGCCTCGTCTATGTTCGTGTAAAAACATGTGATTATATGTGATGCCGAGCCTTTACCTGTGACAGTAACGACGATGTACTGAGGGGTGCTTTGAGCGTTTCCAGACTGTGTGGGGGAGCCCTGGATCTCTGCAGTCACATACTGTGTCTGAGCGGGCTGGGCCTGTGCTGTGGACGGGGCTTGACTACCAGCTGCAGGCTTCTGAGGGCTGATGGAAGGGGCTTGTTCAGTGGGAGTAGTTTGACCTGTGGGCGTGACAACAGTGGGAGTAGCCACAGTAGTCTGAATCTCAGCCAGAAACTGAGGGGCAGCTGCAGGTGTGGAACTGGCCTCGGGTTGGCCTGGCGTGACGGTAACGGCGGCCCCCTGGGTTTGGGCTGCTGGCTGGATCTCACCTACGTAGCCTGAGGTGGCCATTACAAGAGCTGGGAATCACCCTAGGGAGAAAGAAACAAGCGACACATTTCTGGTGAATCCATCCATCCATCCATTATCTATACACCGCTTAATCCTCACGAGGGTCACGGGGGGGCTGGAGTCTATCCCAGCCGACTTAGGGCGAAGGCAGGGGACACCCTGGACATGTCGCCAGTCCATCGCAGGGCCACTTTGTACCAGAACAAATAAATCTTAGCTCCAAGTAAAATCTTTTAAAATGTGTAACTAGTACTGCGCTGGTTATCCTTTGGGGTATGAGGACCAACTTGTAACTGTACAGACAACACTTGGAAAAGTGAAAGTGTCAAA